TAGATGTTCGATCTAGCCAGACACACGTGCACACCCACACCCTTACTAGAGAGCACTGCCTTAATGAATTATGAAATTCTTTCCATTAATTGATAGTCTTCAGTTAGAAGTATTAGATGCTGATGAAAAATTCAATAAAAACTATTTCTCTTGATCCTCGAATTCAACCATATTTCTCGATGTAGATTATTACATGCTCATTATAATAGTATATTACTATTGCAACTCAGGATTCTAGAGAAACGAAATAGTCCAATGTCATGAATTATATATCAATCGATAGCTCCTTCATAGAGCTATTTATTGGTGGTGCTAATTTCAAAATTTTCCCATCTTAGGGAGGGATTCTCAGGAGGTGGGGATCTGGGCACCTATAGATATTTTTTTGTTTTATCATTGATGCATATGTCGGAAATAGCATATATGTTAAATTTGAACATCATTCAATGAAAATTTTTTTTCAAAATGATATTAAAAAAATAATTAAAAATATCAATTAAAAATAGATATAACAGTTTTATCAATAAAAATTAAACAGTAACTCCGTTTGCCTTCTACCGCTGGATTTTAATGTAATTTCAGTCAAGGGACATTTTTTTAAATGCACCGAGAAAAAGAAATTCTTTAGTTTAGGCATCGAGAATCGTCGTTTAGTTAATATTTTTTATTTTCTATGTATCTTACATAGAATGTTCTTATTAGGAACACTTTTTGCTGGTTGTTCGAATTAGGAACAGTGTTCTTAATAAGAACAACAGACTCAATTTTAGAATTGATATGGTTCAGCTATATTAAGTGATAAAATTCTGAACCTTTGGATTTTAATGTATCAAATGATGAAGAACATTTTTGGTAAAAGAACCATATCAAAATTTTCTTGTTTTGATATAAAAAGTCTCGTTTACTAAAATTTTTTTTTTGTATGTATTTTACATGGAGTGTTCGTATTAGGAATAAATTTTAGCTTGTCGCTCTTATTGGGAACATGGCTCCTAATACGAACAAATTCACTTCTCAAAAATATACCGCTAATTACGCAATCGATTTTAGAGATAATTAGCTCGTTTTTGTGTCATTGGATACGCCAAGTGCTTCTCTACTGAAAAATGCAAAAATAAATTTTTTATGTTGAGAAGTCCTTGAGAAAAATAGAAAATAATCGAGGATGTTGACACACCTGTTTTTATTAGGAACATTGACTGTAAACATCTACAAAAACACAAAAAACTTTTTTCTTTTTTTATCTCGAGAGTAGTGAACTCATTAGAGAGAAGTTATATCTAAATAAGAATAACCAACTACTTATGATTTTAATGAAGTTATTTAGAAAGAGCTACATCATATTGTTTCGTATGATTTATTGAAAATAGTTGAATTTTTTCATAAGCAGGCTCATCGTTTGTAAGTTATTTATGATAATCATTCTAATAAGCGATTGAGTGATGGTGATGATGATGTACATACTAAACCTAATTAATTTGCCATGGTAGTTTCATTTGTTGATTCTTTAATTTCATTTCTTGATGTACCACTTTTTCACAATAATCTTTTATGACATTTTCCAATATGTCTCCTTGTTGTGTCATTTCTAGATGCTTTAGTACTTCACGAGGTAACAAAATATAATCAACCAAATCATGGCACGATAATGGAAAGATTGTACCATCTTTTGTTGCAATCCTTGCAATAAAATTTGGCAACCACAATGAAAATGTGTTGCTCATTTGTTTTGTTGATTATGCTATGAAAGAATTTCCAATTTGTTACAAACATGATTGTAATATTTTATATGTACCATATGTTATGAGAGTTTGTCGTTTTTACGTCATAGTGTTTCACGATGATAACAACATCGTTATGCTTTCTTTGAAAAAGCACAAACATAAATGTTTTACAATAGAGATGATGTGAAAATATTGATCTTTCGCTAACAATGACACTTAGTAATGCTTGGAATTTTCTTGTAATTCAGTCAAAGTTTATATTCTTGCGATGATGTCGAATGACAACATGAAGACACAGACAACACAATGACTGTGACTTTGATTAATTTGCTGTATTTATGCAATTATAACCATTAGTTAAAAATTACATATAATGCCTATTCGGTTGATTGATAGATTATAAGGTTGGCCGCAAAAATGTCGAAAGGAAAAATATCGAAGGGGAAAATGACGAAAAAATAATATCGACATGCAAAGTAGTTGGTAAATGTTTAAAAGAGTTATGAATAGTAAAGAATATGTTTTATTATATGCGTTAGTGTTAACATTCTAAGTGTTCAAATATAGATAATGGAAAAAAATCGATCATGTATCATTTGTTTTGCTTAGTAACTGTAAATGATAAATCATCTAAAAATTCCATAGCATTTATAGCACCGTCATAATATCGTTCACCAAGTTTATCTATTATAAATGAAATAGCTGGAGATTTTGCTTGAGTTACATCAGTTGATGATGCAGCAGCTTCAGCCATGACAATAAAATTTTAGTTATATAATAGTTTTTCGCTCAACTCTTTTATTTAATTTTTATCAGGTATTAGTCATCACCGTTACTACTGGTTAAACTTCTACACTAGTAGAATCATAAAAAAAGCAACAATGAACTATACGTGATTATATTCACCATTTACTGGAGACATCATATTTTTCTATATTTTCCTGTTTCGATATTCTTTCGCTTCAATATTTACTTTTCGACATTTTTCCCGTTCTATATTTTTTCTTTCGATATTTTTCCAGCATATCGATTATAATGGTTGATTTGTCAAAAAGAAGTTTTTTGCTTAGACTGAGATTGTATATTGACTTTGGATTTTCACCTATGTATTTTGATTGATACAAACATTGATTGCTTATTCATTGCTTGGAGCACAATAAGTATGGAATAATTGAACAAATGCAGCGTTCATTTCCTAATGAAAAGAATGAAAAGAAAACTTAATCAAAAATCGAAGAGAACAAGATGGAAGGAGAAATCGGTTTTAAACCTTATAGTTACCAGAAGCTTTTCATTGGTAAAAGTTGTTTGATAATTATATGATAGAATACAGCATTCTTGTCTAGTTTATTTTTGTTTCAAAGGCAATTTCACTGTCCTTTGTACAGTTAGCAGGTTTTGGCTGTTGTTAAAATTGTCCTCTTTTTTCTAGTAAAAATTCAACAAGAAGTTGTAAATATTATAATTTTACAATCAAGTGTGAATTAAATTACATGTAGTAATCCTTTTTGTTGTCGAATTTTGCTACATAACTTATTAAACAACACTTTTATCAATATTGATAAGATTTATGAGATAGCTTCTCATTAAACTTTTCAATTCAATGAAAACTATTATTCAATAGAGTGATTTATTGATAAATAAGCAAGAATTTGAATGATATTAAAAAGAAAAAGAAAAAATGTTAAAATGAAATGCCTCCACGCAGGATCGAACTGCGGATCTCCAGTTTACTAGACTACCGCTTTACCACTAAGCCATAGAGGCTTAGTAATCGTATCTGATTAGAACCAATGGAATTTTGTTAGTAAGTATTTATATATATATATGTATTATACGTCAATTCCAATAGTTTATTCTACTTATACCTTTTAACTTGTACTGGCCTGTACTGAACTGAATTGATGAAGACAATGAGAGTTTATCATTGTCGAAAAATTTCTTATTATATTGTTATAGTAAGTTAAAATTGTTCGAATAACCCTTCTGTAGATTGAACTAGTGGGTACTATCATATAGTAAAAACACAAAGCTCTGCAGCAGTAGGATCAATAATATTTATATTTGGTTTCGAAACATTCTTCAGAAATGTGTACCTTTAGTAAAATGAAATCTATTCGAATGATTTTCAAAGTAAATCTTAGCGCATGTATTTTCAAAATTTATATGCTTGCTTGTAGGCGTATATGAAAGCGTGCATATATATGTCAGTGTCCAATCTTGGTGCCGACATTGGACTAGTCCGATATCCGTTTGATATGATTCTGTTCATTGAAACATCAATAACTCTTTGGTTAGACGTCAAGATCGAATGGATTTTCGGAATTATGCTTGCGTTATATCTTTTGAAATGTGGGTGGGTGTGGGTGTG